ACCATGTGGTCACCTCCGAGGCAGGCGGAATCGAACTCATGCGGAAGCAGCTTTAGATTCTCAGTGTTGTGCTTTAACCCGCTGCACCACCAGGGAGGGCCAGAATAATTATTTCAATACTTTCTTCTTGACTAAACAATAGCTCCTTGACAGTAGAATTTATATCTACCTTGTTGCCAACTAGTCTCCAGTCTTCAATGATTGCTAGTCAGAGTAGGAACTTAATAAATATTTGTTGAGTCAATGAATGAACTGAAGGGAGAAGGAAGGAAGGAGGGAGGGAGGAAAGGAATAAAAGGAAGGAGGGAGGAAAGGAATAAACAATGAGGTAGGATGATTTAGTGTTTCCTTAGGTTTGCCTAAGTCTGACACATCTTGGTCTCACTAAAATGATCTTGACCATTTCTTGCTTTGTAAAAAGTATGCTTGTGTGTATGTGTGCGTTTGCATATTTTTTTTGAGACTTGTGTGGTAAGCTGGTTATATTTCTGTATAATCCCACATTTTAAAATATGTTACTATTAACTTACCTTTGAATAATTATGTATTTTGTGAATTATTTAGTAAAGCTAAGTCTTCATATCTTAGCCAATTGCTGAATTTGAGCCACAAAATATATAAATCACATACATAAGCAGGCACATACAGTTGCAATTCATAGCAATATTTTGTGACATCCTCAAACAAACCAGCCTGCCACTCTAGTACATTTTAAGTATCTTTGTTTAGTTTCCTTTCTTCCCATTTTCATCTGATAGTTAGTCGATGAATGGACTACTTTTTTATGACACAAAAAGACTCCAAAAATATAAAATATTAGAAGTGATACATACATGGTTTCCAAGACGAGGAAGTAGGTTTGCCTGGGAAGATGGCAATGCAGGGAGAGTGTGAGACTTGCTGTTCCAGCCCTGAATCTTTTGGGGAGGGCGGTGGGACTTGGCTAAGTGTGTGGGGGAGTGGGTTGTTAACCCTCAAACATCTAACTTCACATACCCTCATGATAAAGAAAAGCAACAAAGTCTGTTCATCTGCTCTGCTCTTAAATCACATTCCCCAGAGCAGATCCTGAGATGAGGATTCACGTCCAAGTGGTCAGGAAAATGTGAGCTGAGGACAAAGAAAGTGAACACATGGGAAAGTAAGACAGGGAAGAGTAACACCTGGCATGGGCCTGGTTTCCGATGAGGCCCCAACCTCAGCCTGAACTCCCAGGAGCTCTGAAACATTCTTTGTGCGGTTTCCTTGACTTACAGTGGGGTTACCTCCTGATGAGACTATCGTGTCAAAACCTCACTTACAACACCTCATCTACTGATCATCATAGCCTAGCCTACCTTAAACATGCTCAGAATTCGTACATCTAGCCTGTCATTGAGCAAAACCATCAAGTGCAATGCCTACTTTATAATAGTGTTGAATATCTCATGTAACATAAACCATACTGAAGGTGAAAACCAGTCTGTAGCATATCTGTTGTTTACCTCTGAGGTCACATGACTGACAGGGGACTGTAACTCGCTGCCACTATCCAGACAGTACCCAACCTTGTATCCTTACCCTAGAAAAATGCCAATATTTTGAAGTATAATTTGAATGCAAATCATTTTTGCACCATCATAAGGAAGAAAAGTTGTAAGTTGAACACTTTTAAGTCTACTTTTAAGTCCCTCTGGATGGCCGTTTGTCCTACTTGGAGGCAAGAAAACAGGTTTTCCTACTTGTGTTCTAGTTCATTAACTGCAGGTCACATGCAGGTGACTTCTGTGCTCCAAGAGTTGGGACAAAATGGCTCCAGGCTCACAGGTCCCGTGAACAGGGTCGCAATGCAAAATGTTAAGAGCAAAGCACTAGCAGTAGCTGAAGGATGAAAACCCAGAACCAGCCAAGAGACCCAAAAAAATTAGGTAGCTGAAGCATCTATAACACCTGTAGCTCCCCTGTCAAGGTAGAGCATCAAGAGCTTAAACTTCTGCTAGATCATCAAGAGCTTAAACTTCTGCTCTTTTATCAACTCTTCCCCAGAGAACAAACAATGATGTTTGCTCTTCTTGGTCCTCTGATAGTGAGCACTTGAATAACTTCTTTTTTTCATGTTTGTTGCATTTATTATTCTCAAATAACTGGCCTCACCAGCTACTTTCCCCCAATTAAATGTCCAATAATTAAAGAATTATGTTCTCTGCTTTTCATGAGAGTTCATGGAGCTGTGGGGAGGTCAATACCTTGTTATTAATGAACAATTGATTCTGTTCTGTTATGAGCTCTCTGCTGAAAGGACTGACTACAAATTTTGCTGACTTTTTGAAAGGTTTTAAACTACTTGCCATCTCTTAGAGCTCTATCAATTCTTCCTCCTAGATTTATTTAATTCAGATACAGAATAATTCAAAATGGAGATTATTCCCAAGACTCAGAGCCACTTGGGCATATGATATTCAGCAAATCTAGTCCATGAAGGGGACTCTCTCCCATTTGAAAAATCCTTTTCCTATCTGTATTAATGGAGGTCACTGTGCCAGTGAGACTACCCTGAGGTAGAGATGTGATCTTTCATGATCTATTATCTTGTTAGATGTGATCTTTCATGATCTATTATCTTGTTAAATTTAGTATAATCTGTATGAGGCCATACATACATAATCAGTTGGGAAATTCTCTTCAAAAGCTTAGTGCCAAAATAAGATTAGAGTTATTCTTAAAGTAAAATCCAAGATTTACTTTTTATTTCAAGAACTGGTTGTCTGCCTATTTGTTTCTTTTCTTTATGTCTTTTCTTTTTACCTCAGCGTTTATTTATTGCATACCTTCTAGGGGCTAAGCCTGTTGTAGTTCTCTAGCTGAAGCTTCCCTTCTAACAGAATGAATCTCTCTCTCTCTCTCTCTTTCTCTCTCTCTCTCTCTTTCACACACAAACACATACATACACACACACACACACACCATGTGTGGCACATGCTAACTACCCCTCCGGGGGACTTCAACAAAGATAGGATGTCAAATTGCCCACTATACCTAACAGTTTCTGTATTTCTCAATAAAATTATTAATGAATAATGTAAAAGTAACTGACTTATGCAAAAAGGATATGGTTTTTAATTGATGGTTTTGATGTTTAGTAACTATAAAAGCCATGTCTCTTGATATATATGTTTGTGTCTAATGTAATATATAAGAAAAGGGAAGAAAAGAGCTGTTTTTGGAGCACATTTTAATAAGATTGTATAAAATGAACTAGAATTAAAACTAGAGCAGAAAATTACAGTGTTCAATGAAATATACAGAATTATTTCCTCCCTCACTGTGTATGCAAAAAGAATAACTTGGATGCTGTTAAAAATGAATTTTAAAAGGAGCAATAAATGCAGAAGCCCAGTCATTAGCACATGCAGGCTATTGGACATCAATAATTTTTTTACTCTTTGAAGATAGAACCCAGGTTTGAATTCTGGCTAGTTAGGGCATCTTGGTTGCTTCAAAGTTGTGACAGCCATGAAGAAAACTGCTATAAACATCCACGTGCAGATTTTTATGTGAACATAATTTTTAGTTCCTTTGGGTAAATACCGAGGAATGTGATTATTGGATCATATGGTAAGAATATGTTCAGTTTTGTAAGAAACTGCCAAGCTGCCTTCCTCGGTGGTGGAAACATTTTGCAATCTCACCACCATTGCGTGAGAGTTCCTGTTGTTTCACTAGCTTGCCAGCACTTGGTTGGATGAAGTAGTTGATAGATGTCATTTAGATTCAGGTGATTGACAGTGTTGTTGGGTTCAGCTGTGATCTTTCAGACTTATTCTACCAGGGTCTGTCCATTTCTGGGAAAAGAATGTTGAAGTCTCTAACTATAATAAAGGATTCATCTATTTCCCTAGAAATCTCAATTTTGCCTCATGTTAGATGTCCTATTATTAGACATACATACATTAAGGACTACCATGTATTCTTAGAGAACTGACTCTGGTCATTATGGAATGCCCTTCTGTATCCCTGGTAACTTTCCTAACTTTGAAATCTCTTTTCTTTTGTTAATTATATCTTAGCTTTTCAGTATACTGTTATTAGTACTAATACTAATTCAGTTAAAAGGTCAGGATCTTCACATGAAATTTTAACCTAGGGGCCTCCCTGGTGGGCTAGGGGTTAAATCTCAATGCTATCACTATGACTGCCTGAGTTCAATCCCCAGCCAGGGAGCTCACCTACCTATGGCTCAGCAGACCTTTCCTGTCTCACCTGCTGCTCCCCTTAGCAGTGTATTTCAGTAAATGGCCTGTTCTAAATGGGTGTTCTTCTCACCCTCTCCCCTACCTCTGGTGTACACCCGGGTTCTGTGCCAAAAAAAAAAAAAAAAAATAGGTGATACCACAACCAGGATATGGCCTTTAAAAAAGAAAAAAAGAAAGAAATGTTAACATAAAAGGTTAGTGCTGAATCCAGAAAAGTTTATATTCTCCTGTTCAACTACTAGTATGTTAGCCTTGCTAATTCCACAGAAACAGCAATATTCACTTTTGTATTTACCCTCCAAATAAGCTTTCTCCGTAGAGTGGACCTTTGCAGATGGACTGTGTCTGTACTTTGAATTTGTTTCTGTAGTATGTTAATGAAATGTATGATTTGGATGATTTAAATTAAAACTAGTATCTTTTAAACAACAACAGAAAAAACTAGTATCTTTATTTCTCCTATCTGGTTGCTGCCATTCCTCCATTATTTCAGCCAGGGGAGAGGGCCTTGGAGGAACATAGGCATCTTCTAAGCTAGCAGGAACCGTAGGTCTTGAAATTCTGCTCAAATGCACACAACTGCTCTTTCTTCAATCTTGAGATAGCTTTCAGCTCATGATTTCAGTCCATTTAAATGATTACACCGTATTTCTATCAGGTATTGCAGTGACACTTCTGTACGCCAGAAACACATGCTGGTAGAAATAACAGAGCTCATGCAAAGTCTCCCTGATGTGTGTCTGCTTTCTCTCCCACCCGTTCCCCTAGGTCAGTGTGAGATCGGCTGGGCCTACTACTGCACGGGGGCAGGTGCTGCCACCGCCATGCTGCTGTGCACGTGGCTGGCTTGTTTCTCAGGCAAGAAGCAGAAGCATTACCCATACTGAAGTGGATCCACCAAGAGCAAACGGAGGAAAGGCTGGACTGGACTGAAGGAGCATGAGGGGACTGAAGCATCCAGCTGCTTTCAAAGGTGGAATCGTGGTTCTAATCCATACAGTGCAAATGAAACAAGACACGATGGACTCAAGATTCGGGAAGGAAATGGAGAGCATGGAATGGTAGAGAAAAAGGGACCAAAGGCCAAAATTATCGTAGGGTGGTGGGTGGTTCTGTTCCACAGAGTATTATTGATGTAGAACACACTTACACACACGCAACAAATCTATATATGCAAACAAGGCTTTGTTTTGTTTTTGTTTTTTTTAAAGATGAGAACTCAGAGAATCAAAAGGGCTAGTAGAAACAGTATTATGTTGGGAAGCAGAATAACTTCCAGAAGTTCCTGCAGGTCACATGCTTCTGAAAGCACACGAGCACACACGGATGTATGTATTCACACTCATGCCCACACAAACATATATGTTGTCACACAGACTGCACGGGTTTAGCGGTACATTACTCCTCTGTTTTCTTTTTAATATACATTTAAATACAGTATTACTTCCTCATAAAGCATACAACCGAATAAATGGACCAATAAGCCACCCTGTCAGTGTTTTGTATATCCTGCGTAAACTGTTTATGCCCTGAACATGTTTTCAGTGTTTTATGCAGACCTTTAGAGTAAAGATCTTGTATTTCCATATTATTCAAAAATATGCAATATTTCTCTGACAACTTCTGCTATGATATTCTTATGAAGGGTGACTTTTTGTCCACCATTAAGAGAGAATTCAGTTGAAGTTATGAGAGTAATAAGAGACATTTTCCAGTCATTAGAGCTTATTTTCTTTTGTCCATTATTGTACTGTGCTATATCACATTTATTGCAATATTCATTTGGTAAAAAGTAAAAAAAAAAATGCTATTTTGTTTGTATTTGAAAACCTCTGTGAATAAATTTTCTCTTTGATCAATAGCTAAAGTGAGTCCTAGCATGCTAATTCGGGTATGAACTTGGCTTCTTTAATTTATAAAAAATAGCCTCTCAACTCCAACAGTCGTCTACAGTTTCTTCTCCTTTTATAACTTTCATTAATTCACTCAGTAAGCATCAGTCATTAATGGTTCTAGGCACACAAGGTATTAAAGAGAAGACATAGTTCCTGGTTTCAACTCACATTCTTTGTAACCAGAATTTCAATTTCTTGTTCATGGCATTTCAGTCATGAACAAACTCATACAAGAGGAAAAAAAATCAAGTCTCTTTGGATTAAGTTTGATAATACAGGCAATATTGACATGTGATTTAACATGAGCGTTAGGCCATGGCTGAGGATGAGTCAGTGCCGACTGCCCTACAATGACGAGTGAGGATCACAGC